GTAAAAATATAATTTATATTATTTATCTAAAAATATAATTTATATTATTTATCTAAAAATATATAATTTGATCTTATTCCAATTATCTTTTTTTCTATTGAAATAAAGTTCTTAAATAATTTTAGATTAATTTTATCTAGTAATTAAATTAGCCACAAGAAAATATTGGCATACTTAAAAACTTTCTAATCCATGTTAGCATTGTATTTCCTAATGTAATTGTTGAGTTCATATCTTTTAAAACGAATGAATTTCTAACACTAGTAAAATTATGATATTTTAAGGAATCAAAATACATATGCATGAAGAGGTAATTATGTTTGAAGCTTATATAAGTAGTTAAAACCACACTCCAATTTTATTAATGCCACATCCTACTTTCTACCTTATGATCCATTTTGTACATGTCTTTTGTCTCCAACCTCATTTCCAACCTTCTTCCTCTGCTTCTCTCCTATTCCAACCCTGCCCAATTTCACTGTGCTTGACCCTATCCATTCTTGATTCCACCCTTATCTTAAGTTTTTGAAATTAAATAATTCAATTGGTTAGTTATTTTCTTTAATAATTAAATAAAATATATCTTAGACTTTAGCCTTTCAAAATCATCTAAAAAATAATAATAAACCAATACATTTATTTTTTTAAATAATAAGAAGTTCTTTTGATACTTTTTTTGTTTGCACAAGGATATAGTAAATAATTGAAATAGAACTTTATATCAATCTTTTTATTTGATTTTATTATTTATCACATCCACAATCCTAATTAGAATCCTATAAATTTTATTTAAATTTTTTTAATTACATATTTTCTATCATCTTACAAAAAAAATTATAATTATAATTATAATTATAATTAGTTAATATATTAATTTTTGTATATCTAATTCCACATATTCATAATATAAAAAATAAATAACAAAAAATTATGTTATTTTTAAGGATATTTTGAATAAACTTTTCAACCGTGTTTATCCATGTAAAATTGAAAATATTTTTATAGATATTTCTTAATAGATATGTATTAAATTTAATTTAAAATAAAATAAATTTAGATTAATTTGATATTGGTTTAAAATGACCATATCTATTATAAAATGTCAAACTTTAAACTTCTTATATTCTATCTTAAAATTTAAGGTATACATTAATTTATTTTGAGTGTTTTATTATTCAAAAAATTCAAATCAACTTATTATTTTTATATTTTGTATCAATAAATTTCAGCTACTTAAAACCTAGCTGATAAACTCTGAAACATGTATGATTAATTTATAAAACAAAAAGAACTCCTAGGAAAGGAATGGAGTTGGGATGGGGATGGAGGTGGAGTTGGGGTGGAATTGGGCAGGGTGGAGAAGGGACAAGTAGCTTTAACAACTTCCTGTAAATAATGTAAAGTTTCCACCTTAAAATTGTAGAGTTTCATTTTAATAAAATATTTTCTTTTTTATTTAAATCTTAAAATATAATTATACAAAGGATATTAAAATTTATATAAAAAATATTTTTAAATATAATAAATTATTAATATTCTAGATATTTATCAATTCTTACATAATTATAACATATATAAATGTTCTTATTATTTTTAAAATTTACTAATATTAATTTAAAAATTAAAATATTTATTAATTTTATTATAATAAAACCTATATGTTATAATACTAAGTATTATTTTAGAGTATTATTATAAATTCAGCCTATAGATTGTAATGTTTTTTAATAGGTGACTACCATATTACTTTTGAAAAATATTAATGCAAATTATTAATGATCAAATCATAATTTTATCAAATTCAATCTAATTAAATGATTTTAAGGGAATTTAGAAAAGACACCTAAGTGCAAAAGATGATAAAGTCAATAGTATTATAATAAGATAGAAACTTTTTTCAATTAATAATTTATAACACATTCTTTAGTAAATTTTTTTAAACATATGCAAATCTTTGATCTAAAACTGATATTTGATAATATTATCAATACAATATTGTATTAAATCCATAAGAGAATTTTATCTAGTAATTCACCATAAGTGAAGTAAAAACAATTATTAGTTTCTGAACATCCTTATATCTTACAATATACCAGAATTTTATACATGGTTGAATTTAAAGACTATATTTGTTTAATTTTTTATTGGATTTTTATTAACGCTATCTCTTATTTTGTACAACATTTTAGTTACAATAATTTAAGTATGAGTAATAATTTTAAAATTATGCAAGAAGTGTTAACTTTAAAACATGTTATTTATTATTTTTTATATTTTTTTGTTTTTGTTTTTTTCTAATAGAAAATTTTGGATAAAATTACTTAAGTCAAAGAAATATTGTTTCTAATGAATTTTATTTATAGTTCTTTATTTAAGTTATTTACAAATTGCTTTTTACTTCAACATCCAATTCACAAAAGAAGCACTTAGAGCCACTAAATCCTTGTAGCTTCTTCAACATGGATTTAGTCTATGCACAATAAAAGGTCTTTTGATTCATCTCCTTTAGATTCTTCTATATGATTCATCCATTACATCAATCTCCTACTTGCTTTGAACTCGTAAGCTCAACACAAACCATTGCTCCCTAATAGATTCATGCCAAGAAGAAGCTCAAACAAATTGCTCTTTGGCACATCGATCTAGCGTAGTCTCAAATGCACATAAGAAGTTTGTGAGTGAGTTTTCCATAGAAGGTGGTGTACAATACGTCTAGCCCAATTGAAAGGCCACATTTTTTTTCCATCTTTCCTAGCTCAATGATAAAAATCCAATACAAATAAATGCCCTTGTTATTGTAGTAATATTTAGCCTACACATTTATATGATAGTTCTTTTTCCGAAAAACATTTTTTCTACTTAGATATGCCACTAGATGATTGTAGAAATAAAATGTAGTTCTCCAATCTTATAAAAATCTCATTTGGGTTGTATAAAAAATATTTTTAGAAAGTGAACTAAGCTATATCTACTTAACAATGCTCGTTGTAACAATTTGTCTTCAATAAACTACTTTCTCCATGTTAAAGTTAAGTTTTGATGAAAAATATGTAGCAAAAGTTTTGATGAAAATGAAGATTGAAAAATCTAATCAACTAGAAGGCCAATTTTTCTCTCTGATTTATTCCATTGATTTATACCCCATTTGATGTGTTTTATAATAAAGACTAGATGAATCCGTATTCTTGTCACAAAAAGTGTGACTCAAATGAAGCATTTTTTGAGCCAAAGAATATTTTTAAATATAAATATAATACAATATAAATAGAAAGAAACAAAACATACAATACAGCTTTCAACTATGGAGTAGGATAGGTAAATCCATGTTGTTGTCATAGATAATATGCCAAAAAGTAATTAATTTTGTTCAAGGAACTATTTGTGAAAATACAAAAAAATATTAAATTACATTACTCATGTTGTGACTTGAAACTTGTGTATTATATGTTGCAATATTAATTAGAATTTAATATGCACCTTGCAAAATTCCATCACCTCTCACAGCTTGCGCCTCGTCTCATTGGTGTTTGATTGCCCATTATTTCTTATTATGCAATACACCTATCGCCCCTTTTCTCTCGCAACTTGTGCTTCACATTCAATTGCACATTCACCTTCAATTAGATTTAATTGAAGAAAAAAAATAAGTTCTATGAACTCCTTATATCATTGATTGCTATAAATATTGATGTAGCAATAAATATTGATTCTCCACCCTTTCTATAAATTGACTAAATCCACAACATATAACATGCTTGAGCTTGAAAAATAATCATGTTAGAATAAACTAAAATAAAATTTTGCTCTTATTACGCAATACACCTATTGCCCTTCCTCTCTCATGACTCACATCTCATATTTAATTCCACATTCACCTTCAATACTATTTAGTTATAAGAAAAAAAAAATGAGCCTTGTGAACTCCTTTTGTCATTGATTGGTATGATAATATAATATTGTTGATAATAATCAATATTATTAATATAATGACATTCATTATAATATTGTTGATGATAATATAGATGGAGTTTCACCTTGTTTAAAGTGTCATTTAAAGTATGATAAAATGAATTGGTGATAGACAATTTAATCTACCATGTTTGCATTAGAGTTTGATTTGAACCAAAACGGTTCTAAAATAAAATTTACATGATTCAAGATAGTGTTTCTAGCCTTGTCATATGAAAGAATGTACAATTAATAATTGCAATAGACAATCTCTACACTCACATTGAATATCCACTTCACTCCAAATGCTATTTACTAATACATTTTCCTTACCTTGTACCCAAATGTAATGTCAAAAATAAGTAATCATTTGGCACATTCAACCAATTTTGAACACCATTGAATTGGAAACAATGCAATACACAACACCCTATGTATTAGACCATGCTTCATTGCCATTTGTGTTCTCATTGACATAATTAGAGTTCAAGATGAGACGTATACTCTGCATAATCTCATCACCCCTTAGAGCTTGTGCCTCGCCTCATTGGTATTCAATTGCCCGCTTCTCTCTAAATTATTGTAGAAAAAAAAATGTGCTTTATAAACTTTGTGTAAACTTTGCTTTAGTTTCAATCAAGCTTTTGCTTTCTTTCAAACTCAAGACAATGTTAAGTTTTTTGATGAAAACCAAGACGGGTGCATGAGGTGAATGAGAGCCACCACTTATCTTCTTGATATATACATACATACATACATACATACATATATATATATATATATATAAACGCAAAATATAGAAACAATGAACAATTATATATGTGTGTATATATATATATATATATATATAGATAGTAACACATGCACGTAAAGGAAATTAAAAGATACTGAACTTTAGCAAAACATCCATCGAAGCGAGGCGCATGGAAGGAGAGAGAGCTGTGCAGGCATTCCATGCATGCATTTTTTCTCACCCCCCCCCCCCCCGCGACCAGCGACGCGCGTGCAACCTGGCCCTCGCGGCGTGACACGCGACCTGTGGGCGTGACGGGATGGGAACATATGGGAACACGGCGAACCTCCCCGCGAGGCGTGGCCATGACGCAAGAGCCAGAGTGGGAGCGTCGCTCGCTCGCTCGCAGCCACAGCCCGCGCGGTGGCGCCACCTCACAGCGGGCTATGGCACGGGTGGTGGTGGCCATGGCGTGTCCCCATCTCCAATTCTGGATAAGCCTATCTCCCTCCCTGCCCCCCTACCTCGCGCAGCTTCCCCGTATGTGAACGCGAGCTTGCACTCCCGCCTCATCGCATCCGTCTCCTACTTGCGGTCTCGTGGATTGCGTCGCCATCGTTGCTGTGACGAAGGAAGACCTGGACCAGGTTGTAAGGAGATTGGAGTCGTGGTGATGGCGGCTCTGTCGAGCTCGACCGTGGCATCATTGTGCGTCAAGGGTGCAGTGAGGTTTGACGCTAATGGGGCCGTTGAGAAGGCCAGGAGCTTGAGGAGTGTGGCGTGGCAGATGGGTGCGTGCCCGTTGGAGCAGCTCCGTTCTGTCTCGAAGAAGGTTGAGGTTGTTAGTGCAAGGCGCGGCGTTGTGGCGTGCGCTGCTGCTGCTGCTGCTACTGGTATGATTCGGTTTCTGATCCTTGAGCTGAGAGGATGATTTATGGCTGCGTTTTTGTGAGTGAGGTAGCGTTTATAGAGGGATTTGGGAGTGTGAGGTTCGGGGTACGCGTGAGTGTAGTGAATTGTGAATTGTACAGATTTGGAGATGGGGTGTTCTATGATGGGTTTGGATTGGAGTTTTGAATTGGAGACATTGGATGTGAGAGATTTTGATGACATTTTGGGCGTGGTTCGGTCAGGGCAGATGTACCTACAGTGTCGGAAACCAAGGCATCTTTTATTAAGAGCTACCGGAAACCCATCCCTAGCATTTACAGCAACGTAATTCAGGAGCTTTTGGTGCAACAGCACTTGATGCGATACAATTCAACTTACACTTATGACCCAATTTTCGCTCTGGGGTTTGTGACTGTCTACGATCAGCTCATGGACGGTTATCCTGACGCTACCGACCGTGATTCGATTTTTACGGCTTACATCAATGCGTTAAATGAGGACCCCGTGAAATACAGGTTGATTTTCCCACTTCGATGATGCTTCGAACATGCTGTTCAATTCACATTAATTCGGGCCTCGCAGCATGCATCAGCGCTGTATGTAGGGGTCTAGCATTTCTGATCAAGAGATGCTGTTTTTGGGAAATTGCAGAGAAGATGCTAAGAAACTAGAAGAGTGGGCCTCTGCTCAAAGTGCAAGTGGAATCACCGACTTCACATCCAGAGACGGAGAGGTGGAGGCTACTCTAAAGAGCATCGCTGAGCGTGCGGGTTCCAAGGACAAATTTCATTACAGCCGGTTTTTCGCTATCGGTCTATTCCGACTTCTCGAATGTGCTAAAGCTTCCGACCCAGCTGTGCTGGAAAGTGTAAGTGTTGTCTTCGATGACCATATTCTACTCAGTCAATACGTACTTTTGTCATACTCTCTTCCTTCATCCTTAGATAATTGGGTTGGTAATTTAGGATACAAATTTCGCAACGGCATGTCTGAATGGCAGGCTCCTCCTGCTTTTCTGCAACGACCTATAAAGCCGCACAATTTCTACAGTCAGGACTTTTTCATTTGCGGTTTCTTGATTCCAGATCGAAGGTTTTGTATGAACTAACTGGAACTGTGGTTGGGACTTTGTGTGTGGTTGCAGCTTTCTAAGGCACTGAATGTCAACAAGCGGAGCGTGGACAGGGACTTGGACGTGTACAGAAATCTTTTGTCGAAGTTGGCTCAAGGAAAAGAATTGATCAAGGAGTACAACGAGAGGTAGGCTGCCGGTGCTGGTCACTCTCAGATTCAGAAGTGAAAGTTCAGTTTCTCAATTGAAAGTTGACCTTCGACACAATGTCTTGTAGACTACACCACTGCTCTCAACTGGAAAAATGTTACTCTATAATGTGGTCACTAATATTATCGTTGTCATTGCCCCAGGGAGAAGAAAAAGAAAGCAGAGCGAGACGCCGCTGCCGCAAATAAACAATCAGCTGACACAGTTGCCCAGACTGGGGGAGCCAAATCGGAGTAGAGCTTTTAGACTCGTGGCCAGTTTCTTGTTTGCTCACTGTCCATCCTTTCGTACCCAATTATTCTTCTAGTTAGAATGGATCCCTCTTGTCAAGAAACTTACTCTTAACTTGACATTGCGGCGTTATTGAGCATTTGAGAGAGCAAATCATGCCTGGGGCTGGGTGGATGTACCATGTCTGAGATAACCCTGTAACATTCAAGAAACATTGATTCTCACACAACTAACTGTGCCACCAAGGTTGTTCGCTTACATGTGGAAAGATCTTTATGCACTTCGATGCTATTCAAGAGAAGAAAGCTGATTTCACAAGCTTGGTGGTTTGCATATCGGCAATGAAATTATGGATACTAGCACACAATGGAATACAGCTACCGGTTGTTTCCTTGACCACATACATGCTGTTCTATTCCGGTACTTATTCACAGACTTGGCTGAAGAGCTGCCGAAAGCCCATGAAGTTTGTGTAACATGAAGTATCAACAACGTCCGACTTCTTCACACTGACCCCGCAGCATCCACAACTCCGGTCAAAATCATCACTACATGATTAATATATCCTAAATAGTATATAAAGTTAAAATCTATTCTAGACGAATCGTCGCCCACAGTAAAGTATGTTGCACTTGTGTTCTGAAACTCCAATCTTCACGTACTGTCGTTGAGGTTTTGTAGCACCGACACCCCACCCTTTTTCACCCAATGCTGACACATCTAGTTTATTGCTGATTCAAATTCCATGTTCTTCCTTTAGGCCACTCCATTATTGCGTTTTTCATAAGTTCCAATATCTGCCTTTTTCACCTTTTTGCAAAATTAGCACATTATCAAATTATCAAGTGCAAAATTAAGTGGCCAATGAGGTTCTAGACAATGATATAGAATATAGTAGAGATAGATAGATTGATTTACTATTCTCCTATTTTAATTGCAGCTATTGGTTAAATTATATAAAGAACAATTAATTCTACTTCACAAAATTAACATATTAATTTATTTCATTAATTAATGACTCTCATTATTTGTTCCATGAGGCTAATTAAATTAATCTTCTAAAAATTCTAATATATGATTTTAAAAATGTAGATATAGATGTGTCAATATTCTTATCATATTGATGGAATATATCCACCTCTATTCATTCACCAATACAGCCTCAGTGATTGGCTGCTTAATTTACATTAGTTATACTTAGACTTTAAAGTACATATAAGATATTCTTTCTCTTAGTACGTTCTCTCTAATTCATGATTTAACCATAAGAAAATTTTGGAATGCAATATGGTATCAAAGCAATCATAGACCCTCATCCCTTGTTGTTCACTCTTTTTTTCTTTGCTTTCTTACCTACTTTTTATTTCTTTTTAATTATCTGTTATGAAGTTTGTCATGACAAAAGATATCTATGAGAATTCTAAACTCCAAGGCATTCTAAACTATGCTATTTGATCATACAAACTTAAAACACTACTCTAAGTTAAGAAGCTTTAGAGCATAGTCAATCCTTCCATTATTTCTATTTTCAAATCTTCTTTCATTGACTCATTCCAATTGAGACAAATAATAGTCGGCTCTACAACTTAAGCACCATTATCCTCCGCTGCATCTACATAAAGTCCTTCACTTGAAGTCTAACATTACAAGGCCTTATATATTATTGTAGCTACGATAAAGGATTTTGTACTCCCTCACATTATGAATATTTCAAATCCTAGAAAAATTTAGATAAAATTAAGAGACTCGTATAGTTTTGGTTCTATGAATTCTAGACTATTTCTTAAATCTCAACTTTATAGTATTAGTATGATAGACAAAGATGACATTGAGCAACATATTATGATTATTAATAATCTAAATAGACAACTTACATACATTGGAGTATTAATATCACACAAAAATCTAGTGGATAAAATTTGAATCAACTTACCTTTAAGTGGGGACATCTTAAAATAAATGATTTCAAGAAGATATCACACTTTCACATTTAATAAGTCGGAGCATCTCTTCTTACAAAAAGGCAGTGTAAGAACTAGAATTGTGAAAGAAATGAAGAAGAAGAAGAAGAAGAAGAAGAAGCCCCAATAGCTCATCACAAAACATTGTATATCTTTAGATCCAATTTTTGCAATAATTACAATTATATAGACAAGGAATACTTTAATTTTTCTAGCAATTACTCTTTTAATTTCAATTGTATAAACTTCTTAAGTACTTATTTCTAATCCAAGTCTTATTAAATAAAAAACTTTAGTAGAAGATCAAAATCAAGGTTTGAAAAAGACAGTTGCAATAAGTCTGGAAGTTCATTCTATTGAATAATCAATTGCAAGCTAAACTGTATTTGTATCAAAGTATAAGAATTGGAAGCAAGAAAATGATTCAATTCATTATAATGCTTCTCAAATCACTCTATAAATATTAGCAAGATATCTCCACTTCACAAAATTTAAACGTTTTTTTAAAAAGGCTGCTTATTAAAGACATGAATCACAACAACAAAATCCTCAAAATATTCTTATGTCACTTAAAAAGAATATATATTCATTCAAAGTAGTATAGTATTAGAATTAAAATGGCTATTGTCAAAAATAACAAGAATAGAGACTCTTGAAACTAGATTAAGAACAAGAAAGGCTTTGATAAGAGTAAAGAAGACTTTATTCTTGTGTCCATATATACTATCTAATTAGAAGTTATATGATAACATTCTATAGGACCTCCAACACATGTTCAACTTGCAAGATACGTATCTAATTTATAAGATAAGTTTCCTATATGTGTGCCACATGGTTAACTTGTACCACAAGCTATCAACATGGTTAATATGTGGTTAATTTGTTGGTCAAGTTTCTAATCTACCAATCAACTATAAATATGTTTAAAGTCAAATTTACACCTATGAAGCTTCTAAGAAGCTTTGCTATAAGATATTATCAAATCTATTTACATTTATCTTCAATCTAATACTTCTTATCCAAATAAATATATACATCCATGATACTATCTTCTATTCTAAGAACAAGTTCTATAATGAGCAGTGATCACATATTGAAAAAGTCCAAGATACAAAAAATTGGATTTTTAATTTATTTTCATCTTTTTTCTCTTCAAAGGTGGTTGATAGGTTCTTTTAGGCATGAATAGTGTCTAATACCAGGGTGGAAATACTACCTTATTATTTGATTATCATTTAGACTATTATAACTCCCTTTAATTAAAACATTTGAAATACCATCACGGATGGTTTCTACTTCTAATAATATCAACAAATCTTGAGAGTCTCTTCTAAATTTGTGTTACCAAATACATTATATTTTACCATCTATTCTAAAAAGAACATGCCATTCTTAAAGGGCTTTATTTCTATTATATTGTATTGAAGGTTGTGACAATTGTAATATCTCGTCTAGTAACTCAAAAAACAATAGCTCTCAAATTGAATTTTCTAGTTGTTGTTTATCCATCTTCTTAGTACCACAAATATAGAACTATAACCAAAAATAAAAAATAAAATTCAATCTTTCTAAAACCATATTTTTTTTTAGTCAAAATTTTGCTATTCTTCATCTTAATTTGGATAGATATCATCAATGAAAAGTATCAACCTTTTTTATTGTATTTACAAGATTCTTAGCTAACTTCTATGTACATTCACTAATATCATATCTACACCAATAAACAAAATATTTAAGCCTATTTTAGTAGTGTCTTAAGTTTAAAACTTCTTTAACCTCAAACTCTTAATTATTATCCACTTCTATAAGAGGATGTGGTATTTATTTTTTTCTTAGTAAATCCACTATCTTATATGGCTCAAAGAGAGATACATAGAATACAAGATGAATCTTCATAAATACTAATAGGTGTAATTAATAAGCAACTAGATTGATTTGATCACAAATAAGAAATGGTTCTAAGTCTATGATAATCTAATTTGTCACAAGGGCAAATTGTCCTGATATTATGATGAAGTGACCATATCTTATTGCTAATATAGAATTGAGATTATTCCTTGCAATAGGCATCTATATTGATTTTTTGTCATTTTAGAGCTTTTATATTAAGTATAGCTTTATTTAAGAATCTAACAAATCTTTTGTTGTAAGATTATCAACTTTTGAAAAGTTAAAAGTATTAAGTTTTAGATGATAACCATAATTGGCAAAAAAAATGTATTAATTGAATAGAAGAATGTATTGTATTATTATAAATAAACTTTACCAATAGTAAAAGAGTTGTTCAATCATTTTGATAGTAGTTAATGGCACTCCTCAAATTATCATAGACATACATATTTACTTTAATATTTATCTATATAATTAAATAGAAATAAATAAAAATAGATTTATTTCATAATATTTTTTAGAGAAGCTTTCTAAAAGCTTTATAGATGCTTCTTTGACTTTACATGTGTTTGTAGTTGATTGATAGGTTAGAAACTTAATTAATAAAATAACCATGTATTGATAGCTTACGAAACAAGCTAACTATGTGGCGCACATATAAAAAACTTATCTTGCAAATTAAGATACATGTCTTGCAAAGTCAACACATTTTGAAGGTCATATAGAATACCGCCACATATTTCCTAGTTAAGAGTATATATGGAGGCAAGAATGAAGCCCTTTTTACTCTTATCAATGCCTTTTTAGTTCCTAGTCTTGTTTCAAGACTTTCTAGGCTTCTTGTCTTTGACAATAGCTATTCTAGTTTAATATTATATTAACTTCAAGTGATTTTTTAGTCTTCTTGAGTGATACAAGAGTGTATTGAAGTTTTCTTTCTTTGAAATTCATGTCCTTGATAGTTTAACAAGAATACTAACTCATTTTTCTTGTCTTGTTTTAGAAATGAGTGGATTATCCACTTCTATTGTTGTATTTTGAAGGTTGTAGATTTTCCACCTTTAAACAATTTTTTTAGTTTTCTAACATTGATATCTTGTTTAAACAAAGTGGATTATCCTTCATTGTAGAATTTTTCATTTGATGTTAGAGATTGTGGATTATTTTTCTATAATTTGACTTGTGGATTTGTTAAGTTATTTGAAATGGAAGAGAACATCATAGATGCTATACTTGGCAAAAGTAAGAATAGATTTGTAACTATTATTGATTTCCAAAAACTTTTTAGTACTTTTAGGATAGAAATTTCATGCATTAAAAGTACCAATTATAGAAATACTAATTTTACATCTATAGAAGAAGTTCAAAATCTATATCAAGAAGTTGTACAGTTAAAAGAAGAAAGTA